ATGCGCCGTTCAGTTAAAAACCATGTGAAACAGACTTCAAGAAGACCTTCCGAATTCAAAAAAGAAATGGTTCAAACAGAAACAAATATTTTACGACACAATCTACTTAACATTGCTTCAAAAATACCCTTTCACTTTAAAAAAATTTAAGCATACCTTGGAATATTCTCCACGCATTCTGGTGTTCCTCGTTCGACAGTAAGAGAGCTCTTCCTGAATGCCAGACTGGATGGTATGCATGTGCATACAGAGCATAGGAACAGCAATGATCGCAGTCAGAGTAGCAATGGTAGAGACCGCGACTCCGACAAACGCGAATCGTTTCAGACTTTCGTGCTCGGCCGCCTGTGCCTTAGTGCATTTGTCGCCGTCCATCGTGTAGGTAGTCGTCGACGATGCCGCAACGCTGAGCTTGACGCTCCTGTGCTTTTATAACGGGATACAGCGTAACCGCAACGATGATAGTCCCGCCCTAGCCTGATATGTATGTGTGTGGCCGAAGGAGCACAAAAAAGTTAATGCTAAAACTCGATTTTCTACCCCATAATGCCGAACCCGAAGAGAAGGTGTATATGTGGCTGGGTGTGTATTTCGATCTGTCACCAAATGTTGCTAGTGAGACGACATTCTCTTCACTTCGTTGAAAGTACAACGATGAGACGTTTTTAAGGCATCTGCGGGCACGTTGCAAGGATAAAAACTAGTTTCGCGGTCTTACTGTCCAAAACGTTACAGTTGGACGGTGATGAATTTCTAGCTCTCTTCCCGCTATGCCACTTCATGCTAGACTGTTCAAATGTGTTTCTTTTCTGACCATGTCAGCCTGAACTGAGCTTACACGACACGGCCAAAGATAAAAAACTCCTTGTGACGGTGATGCGCTTCCTGTCCCACTTTAAGTTGTGACCGTCACAAGCAGCCTATTTTGATCAACGCCGTGTTAAAATAATTGATTTTCGACCCTACGTTCCAACCAAGCCAGGTTTACAGCAGAACAACCGAGAAAAACGCTTCTGGCAGAGACACTCGCTGCTTTAGCCGTTGTGTTTGCAAGCCACGTTTATTTCCTTAATAGGATAATTAGTTTTGATTTCATAACAATGAGCTCGCTCTTATGCTCTTATGCTCACGCACTAGTTTATTCCAACTCTGCATCGCATATTTGCATTCTACATGATTTTTACAGATGAAAGCATAGCTGTGACAGTACAGCGAGTTTGCAGTGTAGCGGAGCATTGGAAAAGGAATTTTTTTGCAGAAAAGAGAGGGCGCGGGCCAGAATGTATGAATGAGACGGGCAAAAGCAATGCATAATGCAAGTTGATTATTATTCTGGGTTATTTCACAGCGAATTTGACAAACGGCAAATTTGGAAAAATCATCGATGAACGCTAGCGTTATTGATGCAGAGCAAGAGCCGATTAGTTTGCGTATTCGTGGCTCTGTTTTTTGGAGTTTTATAAACGCAGCTCTATTCTTGTTCTTTCCGTTTGTACCTCTGCAAATCCAGATCAATTAGCAAGTT